AAACGGATGGGACTGATAAATACTATGGGCAACACCCCATCTTCCCCTCTAGATCTTACACTAGTCCACTGGGGGGTCATTAAGACGATTGCCCATAACAATAGTGTAGATGTAAAGAAAAAGAAATGGACAACTTTATGTTCGGTTGATTGGCCCTCCTTCAATGTTGGATGGCCCCCTGAAGGGACTTTTAACCTGAGTTTGATTTCCAGGGTAGAGGACCACGTTTTTCGCCCACGGATGGGCCACCAGGACCAGATCCCATACATCATGACCTAGAGAGGCCTCATCGAATGACCCTATGCCCCCACCCCCCGTCAGGTCCTTCCTTCCCCGATTAATCCAACTGTTCCCCCTCCACCTCTGCAGGTCCTCCCTCTCAGACCAAAGGCGGAAGAGAAACCCATTCTCCAGGGAGACACGGAGGAGAAAGACATCTCCCCCCCTCCCCGCCCTATTCCTCTCAGACGGGCACCCCGCCAACGGTGCCACAAGTGCAGGCCCCGCCTCCTAACCCTGAGGAACCACCATCGCTTCCACAGGGACCTGCGCAGGCCACACAGAGCCGGAGGGGGGCAGCCCCCCAGCCTGACACCATTGTCCTCCCCCTCCAGCCGGCGGGGTCCCCAGATGGAGGGGGCAATCAGCCCTTTCATTACTGGCCCTTTGCCACCAGTGATCTTTACAACTGGCGCTCACAGAATGCGCCTTTCTCTGAAAACCCCAGGGACTTGATTAACTTATTGGAAACTGTTCTCTTCACTCACCAGCCCACCTGGGATGATTGCAAACAGCTCCTGAGTGTCCTGTTCACTACTGAGGAGTGAAACAGGATCCTGGAGGCAGCCCAGAAATTGGTTCCGGGCCCCACTGGGGACCCTACCACAGACCCAGGCATCATTAATGCCAGCTTTCCCCCTAGCCATCCCAACTGGGACTACAACATGGCAGAAGGTAAGGAGAGGCTCCTGGTCTACCACCAGACTCTGCTAGTGGGTCTCAAAATGACAGCTCGAAAACCCGCCAATATGTCTAAGGTCTATGATGTCAGACAGGGGCCTGAAGAGAGCCCAGCCTCATACTTAGAGAGGATACAAGATGCCTTCTGGCAGTTCACTCCGTATGACCCAGAAGCGAAGGAATCAGCTCAAACTGTGATGTTTGCTTTCATTAACCAGGCAGCCCTTGACATCAAGAGAAGGCTACAGTCTTTAGATAGACTAGGAGAAAAGAACCTTAGGGACTTAATAGCAGTGGCAGAAAAGGTTTATACTATAAGGGAGACAGCAGAACAAAGAGAGGAAAGAAAAGAAAAAAGACAGGAAGCAAGCCTGACCAGGGTCCTGAAGGGACAACAGGCCGGCCACAAGAAGGACCTCAGAGAGATATTATTGGCAACCAACCCCCAGTACAGAAGGAGCTCATCGGTGGGATCCAGACCATGAAATAAGGTAGGGAAAAACCAGTGTGCATACTGCAAGGAGGAAGGGCACTGGGTGAAGGACTGCCCCAAGAAGAATAAGCGATCAGCTAAGGTATTACCGGCTCTAATTGGGGGTGAAGACAGTGAAAACAGAGGGGAAACCAATTGAGTTTATGGTGGATACTGGTGCCCAGAATTCAGTTTTATTGAAGCCAAGAGAGCCAGTGTCCTCCAGAACTACATGGGTACAGGGGGCAACAGGAATAAAGCCCTATTCATGGACTACCCAAAGAACAGTAGATTTAGGGAAGGGCCAGGTATCCCACTCATTTCTA